CGAAGCATGGAAGTATCGTTGTTAAAGGGGTACAGACCTTGCAATGCAGCGGCAGCCAGGAAGGAGGCCCTCCCGACAACACTCGTCCTGGGAAGGAAGGAAGCACCGTTGCTAAAGGGGTACAGACCTTGCAACGCGGAGCTGTTACTCAAAGTACTGGAAGAATCGTTGCTAAAGGGGTACAGACCTTACAACACGGAGCTGATCATGAAGGTCCAGAAGTACCGTTGCTAAGGGGTTACAAACCCTGCAACGCGAAGCCATTCCACAAAGGCGTGCCGACCTCCACGTCCCAGAACCATCCACTGGTACCATGATGAAGCACTGTTGTCAAAGGGGCACATACTTTGCAACACAGTTACTCGAAGGCATGGAAGCAGCATTGCTAGAGGGGTACATACCTTGCAACGCAACAGCGTCCAGGAAGGAGGCCCTCTCGGAAACACTCGTCTCGGGAAGGAGTGAAGCACCGTTGCTAAAGGGGTACAGACCTTGCAACGCGGAGATGTTACTCGAAGTCCTGGAAGCATCGTTGCTAAAGGGGTATAGACCTTGCAACGTGGAGCTGATCATGAAGGTCCAGAAGTAACATTGCGAAGGGGTTACAAACTTTGAAACGCGAAGCCATTCCACAGGGGGCGTGCAGACCGCCAGGCTGAGGCAGAATACGCCAAGCAGAGGAAGAACGATGAAGGAGGAGGGCAGAAAGAAGACAAAGGGAAGCGTGATGACCCGAAAGACGATAACACCAACATGAAGTTTTCATTCACACCGAGCAGTATGGACAATATAACGACCATCACGTGAGGAGCCAGGTGATGATGCTGACAGGAGATCTCTGGAATCAATTGTCGAATCCTGGAGACTCGAGGGGTACACTGGGTCACGGTCGTAATGGGCAATCTTCCCGTGATCGTCTAAGAGGCGAGCCTTAGTGTGCTCCGCGCACGAAGCTGACACAACTTCATGTTGGGTTGCAAGCGTTCCGGGAAGCCACCCGCGTTCTAGAAGCTTTGGCTCAAGGATTCTAGAGGTTGAAACCACAGGAAAATGTGCATAAGCATTCAAGTCACACCATTCTTGTGGACATGGAGACATCCTCCGGAAAATACGAAGACGCCCTATGACGCAGAAATTCACAGTAGCGTGGAAGAATCGTTGTCAAAGGGCTACAAGATTTTACACGAAGGCGTGTAAGCAGTTTAGGCAGAGGACCTCATCATCAACGAAGATACAAAGTATGATGGAGGGTTAGCTTTGTACTGAACCCACTTTTGAAGTCGAAGAAATCCAGGTCAACCACGAGAGAAGGAACGGGAGATCAAATTCGGTGTGGTGCTCCCAATCGATCTTACAAATTGAAGACTTGGTTACACAAGGGCGTGCCGACCTCCACGTCCCAGAACCATCCACCGGTACCATGATGAAGCACTGTTGTCAAAGGGGCACATACTTTGCAACGCAGTTACTCGAAGGCATGGAAGCAGCATTGCTGAAAGGGTACATACCTTGCAACGCAACAGCGTCCAGGAAGGAGGCCCTCTCGGAAACACTCATCCCGGGAAGGAGGGAAGCACCATTGCTAAAGGGGTACAGACCTTGCAACGTGGAGCTGATCATGAAGGTCCTGGAAGCATCGTTGCTAAAGGGGTTACAAACTTTGCAACGCGAAGCTATTCCACAAAGGCGTGCAGACCGCCAGGCTGAGGCAGAATACGCCAAGTAGAGGAAGAAGGATGAAGGAGGAGGACAGAAAGAAGACAAAGGGAAGCGTGATGACCCGGAAGACGATAAAACCAACATGAAGTTTTCATTCACACCGAGCAGTATGGACAATACAACGACCATCACGTGCGGAGCCATTCATTCTGAGTCACGCAAAGCTCATCTCCAACCCAAGTTCGTGCAGGGCTATCTCTCCGCCAAATTCGTGCAGGGCTACCTCCATGTCAAGTTCGTGTCAAAGAGCGAGATTGTCCATCCTTCCCAGACCACCTGTGATCGAGTAATGCTCACGCAAGGATCAACACATAGCTTGGAAGACCGGATGCAATCAGATGCCATCCTCGTCAACAACTGTTCATTAAGACGAAGTAAAGTGGAGATCCAGCTAGGTTCGCTCTTCATCCTCAAATCGCAGCAGGTCAGGCCACCTTAGGCTCTGATCACCGGCATGAATGAACAGATCTGCAAAAGAACTCTTTCACTGACTCAAAAAATGACAAGGAATGAGTCGCCCAAGCATCACTCTCTTTCCTTGCATCTCTCCCTTGACCTGCATCAGGTTGTCCTCCAAGCACTGCTCTTAGTCTAGAATCTTACATCCATCTTGAGGAAGCTTGAAGGTCAAATGACACCGTGAATTTAATCCTAGCGACTTTGCTATACACATCATCATGTAGGCGAGCGTGAAAATTCGAGCCTTACCCACAACACAATCATTCCCATTTCAAGACCGGTCGGGTGAGGACCGCTGCTTTGGATTCATCATGAATGGACTAAACGTTGTCATCCTGATTCTATGATCGCGCTCGCCCACTGTCCTCCCAGATGACGATTATTTCCTCGTCACAAACACCGATCTCAACCACTCCTTTAGCAAATGGCAAATCTTTGCAGATATCTTACATGCTTCGAATGGGACGCGGGGCGAGCCAGGCTTCTGTTGGTCTGGTCATGTCTACTCATTTTCAGCTTCATGCCATTACTCTTCTCGACAAAGTTATTCTTCATGGAGCAGGGAAGGTGAGTGCTTCTTCCCAGCATCAGGCAAAGAAGTTATTAGCATGTACCCAACATTAGGCAGGGAAGATGCATGCTTCTCTCCAGCATCAGTCAGAGAAGCTGGGCATCTCCCTGACATCAGGCGGAAAAACTCTTAGCATTCCCCGACATTAGGCAGGGAAGGTGCGTGCCTCTCCCCAACATCAAACAGGGAAGGTGTGTGCCTCTCCCCGGCATCAAGCAGGGAAGGTGCGTGGCTCTCCCCAGCATCAGGTAGAGGTGTGTGCCTCTCCCCAGCATCAGGCAGGGAAGGTGTGTGCCTCTCCCCAGCATCAAGCAGAAAAGATCTAAGCATCTCCCTGACATTATGCAGGGAAGCTGTGTGCTTCTCCCCGACATTAGATGCACTTGCATCGAATGTCAAAGGTCGAGACTTAGCATCCTTCGTCGCATCCAAGGCAGCAAGTGCGCTTCTCCAACCAGCCATACCTACGTGGAAACGAAGGCCGGGGCAGGGAAGCATGGGCGTTTCTCTGACGTGCCATACCTACGAGGAAACGAACAGAGTAAGAAAGGACTCTGCCGGTTGGGTTATATCCCCTTACCCGGCCTAAGGAGCAGTTTATACCTTCGTTTTTCTTGGAAAGTCTCTCTTCGCAAAGCAGTGAGGCTTCTCGTTTTTTCCTCAGCACCATACGGAGAAGCTCCGGGTTTCTTCCCTGCATGAGACAGACCTTCGTCAGACGTCGAAGGTCGAGACTTAGCATCTTGCACTACAGCTAGAGCAACGAGAGCACCTCTCCTACCTGCCATGTCTGTAACAAGTAATACTAGCAATCAACAGGGACTACTTATCATGGTGGACTACTCACCACATCCTCCCGAGAATGTCAGACGAGCATTGCTCATAAGTGAAGACCGGACTTTGCCACTCCCTTAGCAGATGGTGACTGTTGCAGCTGCACGCAGTGGCCGGAGGGCTCACCTTTTTTGCTTGATTTGGAAGAAGACCCTGGGCTGCTGACCGGAAAAACAAGACCTCAGGATGCTAATCGGAAGAACAAGACCTCGGGTGGCTAATCAGACAAACATGACCTAGAACTGCTACCCAAATGAAGGAAACCCTATCCTCTCGCAAGCAGTGGGGATCAATGTGCACAGCTGTGGAGCCACCCTCCCCAGAGCATACCTCAGCTCGACATCATCAACAGACATCTTTGCGACCGACCTCTCATGGGCATGCCTTGGCTCGACATCATCAACAAACAGTTATGCAGGTGGTCTCTCCCGAGCATATCTTGGCTCGACTGCCACCACGGGCAAATAGCCGTGCGACTGGCCTTTCCCGAACATATATCGGCTTACTAGTAAGGCGGACACTCAATCAAGAACCGAGGGGACTAGCCTTCCTTTGCTTTATTTTAAGGTTCCGGTGTACTCTTTTTCCTTCACTAGGATTTTTTCCCATCGGGTTTTTTCCTAGTAAGGTTTTAACGAGGCATCCCCTCATCATAAACAAAGGAAGAAGTCTTCCCGGAAGGAACAAAGAAGATCCTGGGCTGCTGATCAGATAACAGGACCCCGGGCTGCTACCCAGACAATGAAGGTCTCATCCTTGCGCAAACAATGGGACCATATTGTTACATGACTGACCTTTCCGGGCACACCACAAATCATCATTATCAACGAACATCTATGTAACTAGCTAGCTAGCCTGGCAACCGGGCCGATTTCAAAGCAGCTCAACTACTCCCTTTTATCCGAGTCTACTACTCGACTAAGGGAATGAGGGACTCGTGTTGAGATAATGGGACAGGCCCAGTGCCATCGGCCCGTTATCCCCAAGCTTAGGCCCAACTAGGCCCAAGACGCAGTCTCACGAGCGGGAGTCACCCCTTGCTCATTTACTTATTTATCGGGTCGATTCACCCATTAACTGAGAGATGTATTATTAATATGGACCAAACCCACATAGATTAGACTTTGGATTTATGATGGATGCCTATAAATAGGCCATCAAACCTCCATGTATTCGCTACGCTATTTTACTATACTGAAATGCTGCTAATTTCTCTACCAGGGATATTTTCTACCAACACCCACCATGTCTGTGAATCCGGTTCACAGATAAAATATATCTTATTTTTGTTTGCGTAAAAAGTAAAACGTATTTTGTTTGTAAGCTAGATTCACGAACAAAAAAGTTTTAATACAAACGTGATGAATATAAAAATTTGTATAAAGATGAGTACAAATATCTTTTTTGATTATTCAAACTTCACCATTTGAACGGGCAAAGAAGAAGCCGAGCAACTCACTTTACCGGTAAATGGGAGGGTCACGCTTTTCATTTGCCATTTATTATCATCATTATTACGATACGATTAGGATTGTATTATGATGATGATAATTATGATTTAGGATTAGGAAGTGCTCAGGTAATTCTCTTGAACCGCAAATATATCACATCGTCTTCTCCATACCCCACTCCAACCCTTCCTCCCCACTCATCGTCTACCCGATTCTTTCTGGTAAAGCTTAATCACTCTTCAGTTCTTCTCCATATCTTCAATTTCACTGTGCTCTGTTATTTAGTCATTTCAGTCATGCTTTTGAACTTCTAAGTTCAGGGATCAGGGGGGATATTAACTATTGGGTTTTCGAAGTAGTAGTTCTGATTATTTTCATGATCTCCTCTCCGTCTTAGCTGATTCCACTTTGTTTCGCCCTTTGGACTGCAACTGATTCCTTACTATAATTTTACCGATTTCAAATCTGGGGCTAGTATATGAAGATACATACTTATTCAAGATTTTCTTGAAAGGATGCTTATTCAAGATTTATTGAATAGTTCTACTTATTCCTGAAAATAATTGCAGAAATGTACTTCACAGAAAAAATCATGAGTGGGGATGGAGTACAAAATGAAATCTGCTCAGATTTACTTGTGTTAAGTTGAAATGAATGATGAATCTGTTGTGTGCAATTTTTCATATTACATTTATGTATGTAAGGATCTCATCTTTCATTTTTTATGAATTTAAATGTATGAATATCTCCAAATTTACCCATTTTAGAAACAAACTCCGTCTATATAAAAAAAATCTCCAAATCTACCCTTTCCTTTAGCTTGATTCATGAGCTTCATTTTTTCTGTAGCCATGTAAATGAATTTGTTTCGTTAATCATGTGTAGTTTTTCATACAGAAACTTTCATGCTATTTCTTTGTTAAGTGGAGTTTCTTTTTAAGTTGTGACGTATTATTACGAGGGCATATCCTATGCAAAACCAAAAACTGGTTATTTCACTTAAAAAAAGTAAGCGTTCATTATTTTAAAACCTTTCTCCACAGCCCATGCACTCATCAAACGGGTTTTTATGGAACCATGACCATTAATCCTGTTTCCATGTAATGTTTATATATATGATATATTGGTTCCAAAGTAAAGATCACGTAAAGTGGATAAATATTATATACAATGTGAAAAAAGGGATTTGTAACAAAAAATATACTACGTACATAATTTGCTTTCCTGATGCGCATCATGCCACATTGGCATGCGGTTTTGGGAGTTTTTGCACAATAGGGATGAGTTGCTTTTATGTGGTGGCTTTGAGATTATAGCCATTAGCCCACCACTGTGGGTGCCCTTAGGTTTTATTTTCAGTAGTTTGTTGTTTATTCAGTCTCTCTTGATGTGGGTATTATTTCCTAAAATACTAGTAAAATAAAACATTTGGACAAAAGTTATTGTAGTACAACATAATGGTCACTATAGTGTAGATTTGGACATAATTATAGTCACTAAAAGTTACTGACATAGTCACTCCATATTAGAGGTCACCTTTTTGTCCATCATCTTTATTTTAGAATATGTAAGTCATTATTTCATTAACTAATTGTGTGTGTGTGTGCGGGACAATGTGAGGGCAGCATTTCTGTCACCCACACCATTTTAAGTGTGTAAATAGAGCTCATACAAATCAGCTTATTTCACTGCCTCATTTTCCGTATGAGACGGGTGTCCATGCCCCGCCCCCAACCGTCAATTTTCCATTCCTATGTGGTACCCACGCCTATATTCATTCATTCATTTATTTTCATTTACCCCAGTGCCGCAAAGGCTCCCACCTACGGTGGGGTAAGGGTACCCACGCCTATATGTTGTTCATAAATCTTTTGTTGGTCATTCTGCTCAATAGAACTGAAGGGAATATATCCACAAGCTAAACAGTCCAAGTCGTCGAATCCTATGAATAATTTAGTTAAGAGAGCTGACTGGAAGTTTTGTTACTTTAACTACCTCAATCAATGGTGTGTGTGAGATAATTCTAAAAACCGGGAAAAGGAGAAACAAGATCAAGGATTTTAATTTGCCCATGGCTGCTCCACAGTATTTATAAAAAACTTATACTTTCCGTACGAAGGGAAGACTACTCTCTTCCTACGTGAACACGTCAGATTTTCTACTCCTACATAGAAGATCAACAACAACTACTTGACTTCTCAATATCATCATACCTTCGTTGTTACTCTTTCAGCCAGATCACTTTTTTCGTCTCCAATATGCAAAATAACAGCAATTCAATCTTCAACTTAAATGCATGCACATCTAACACTGACAACAAAGTAGTCGAAACCCTTTGGGTTATCATTTCCCAAAAAGTTCATTTCTTCCTATTCGGCATTCTTCATTAACAACTAGCCTCTTATTAACCTCCGCGTACCATTCTCAGTGCCATTTATGTGGAAAATGGCCCTCTCTATAGAATATCTAGCTTACAATGTGGAGCTGCCTGATTAGCTTTGCTGAGTATCTTTTCTCCTTTTCCACTCTTTCAGAAGCATTTCATGCCATTTACTGTGGCAGTAAAAGTAATAGAAAATTTCAACAGGCTCCTTAGATAAAGTATCCATAATATTCAGGCATGGGAATACATTCTTCATAAACATCTTTACTGTTTATATAGATTATTCAGTATAAATGTATGTTGGTGCAGTGTATCCATTCATGTTCACATGTTAAAATGGTAGGTTGCATTTCTTAATTGTACACTCACAGTGGTTGGCTATCATTGAATTCTTAGCTTTCTTATACAGGATGACCTTTCGAGTTGGTGTTTAGATATACCATTTTTTTTAGTAACTGAGGAGGATGTCAAGTGGGAGATACACACACTGGTGCTACCAATGCAGGCAACCGATTAAGCCTAGAGGGTCTAATGTTCTTTGCCCATACTGCCATGGAGGTTTTGTGCAAGATCTGTATGAGGTGGTGGGAGGAGGAGAACGGGGTCATTTTGCTCCAAATATGGATGAGGATTTGGATCATCACTACTCTAGATTCAGAGAACCGTTCCCTGACCCAAGATTTGGGATAGTGGATGCACTTGAAGCATTTACGAGGCAAAGAGTGACCGGAAGAAACCCCAATTATGATATTAGGTCAAGATCTGGCGTTATGCCAGAGAACAATATGGCTTTAAATTCTGGGCCCGCTGGCCCATGGTTGATATTTCATGGCCAATCTCCTGTCCGCGTGGCACAAGATAATGCATTTGAGAACTTTTTCCATGGAAGTCCAAGAATGGGGCATCGCCAGGCTAATTATGACAATTTCCTTATGGGACCTGGACTACAACAGCTGATTGAGCAGCTTAGTATGAACAGCAGGCAGGGCCCTCCACCGGCACCTCGTTCTGCAATTGATGCCATGCCCACCATCAGGATAACCCAGAGGCATCTCAGTACTGATTCACATTGCCCGGTTTGCCAAGATGAGTTTGAATTGGGATGTGAAGCCAGGCAGATGCCGTGTAACCACCTATATCACTCTGACTGTATCGTCCCATGGTTGGTCCAGCACAATTCTTGCCCAGTGTGCCGCCTTGAGCTACCGCCGCATGTATCTGGGAGAAGGCGTGCTGACTGGAGTTCAAGAAGAAACAGTGGGTCCCTCAGCAGAAACAGTGGGTCCAGCACCAGTAATAACAGCCAGAACCAAGGAGGAAGGAGTCCTCTCTCATTCTTATGGCCGTTTCGGTCATCAAACCAGGACACTAGTAACTCTGCAGCACCGTACGAGGAAGAAAATGAAACATATTACTCAGGGTGGCATTATACCGACCAGTAACTGCTGGTTTTCTCCTTCACTGTTTTGTGCTTAAAACCTACTTTTAAAGGACTATATTCTATGTGTTTTTTGTTCTTGTAAGCCAAGGGTGCTGCTTGGACTGGAAGTCAATCATGAAAATATCACTGATCACAACTCACAAGCATGCATTGGGAAGCCATGTAAATGTTCTTAAACTACCCTTTACGTATTTTCAAAATGTTGTGATCAGCATTGTGCCTGTTTTTGTATTATCGTTTCCCTTTACCCGTAAGTGTAAAGATATGAAGATTGATAACATAATGTTACCAAATTCCATCACAGCTTTAGTTCATCAACATTCTAGATGAGATATACCTTCAGCTCAATTTGGCATGTGTGTCTGGTCTCTAGGGATATCCAGGATTTTTGTGAAGAGGATGGGATTCTGGGAAGGGTGATTACTTATTTAGTTTTTTTTACCAATTTTGTATATCTCTATTTACTAATCATACATTGGAAACAACTGTGTGTCTTATTAGACAGTATGTTTTTATAGTTCATCTTCACTTTATTTTAATCAGCTAAATATAAGAGCAAATTAAAAAATAAAGGTCACCACTCATATTCCCTCCTGACAACCAACATCACTGAGTAAATTTGAAGATGGAATTAGATTTCTCCAAATTCTTTTTCTATTTTTGAGCTTTGAAATATATGGAATTGTTATTTTTAATACCCAGTATATCTCTGATTCTCTGAGTCTTGTTTAAACTTTTCATGTCAACTATGGATCGACAACAAATCAACAATGAAACTAATCCTTCTAGGTTCTGATATAGCCCATGTATGAACAAATTTTAGTATCTTTTACAAATGAAAACAAATGAATTACAAGACATATATCATGTTAATTAGTGATGACGGTTTTTATTATTAAACAAAGGCTGTTGAAGAGTCATGACTAATGACTCATGAGGGACTAAAATGAAATTAATGCTAACTACAGGGTTGGAAAAAATGTATCGGCACAAAGCAAAAGTAACTATAAGCTAAATACATACCATCTCTGAATTGTCTACATATTTTCTTTTTTTAGTTCTCAAAAATATTATTTCCATTGAGATAGTTCATTCACTAATCCAAGTAAATTTAACTACATTTTCAATTTCATAAACTCCGTTTTCAGTAAAACACTAAAACGGACAATAATTTAAGAAAGGAATAAGTAATTTATTGGGTCATATGTTAGCAGTTAGATGATGTACTCCCCCTTCTTCCTAAAAAATTCTTTCCATTTACTATATTGGGTTGTATAAAAAATCTTCTCATTTTCCTTTGTGGAATGTGATTATCATCAATTTACCTTTTTCTTAATCAATCACAACCATATATTTACATTTTATTCTCACTTTCTTAATAAGCGTGTCAAATTAAAGTGGAAAGAATATTTTGGGATAAAGTGACTATTATAAAAAGAAATTGTTGTAATTGGGAGTAAAAATGTTTAAAATTCCCAAATATAAGTGTTATATTATCAAACTTGGAAAATACTATCACTTATGACAGTATATTATAAACTTAAAATATTGTAATTTCAAAAAATGACAATAAGTTTTTAGCATGATAGCAAAAAATATAATTAATTACACACATGTGGGGATGTGATGAGGTGAAACGATTGCAAGGGGGGGTATTTTTGTCCTATTCCTCTCTCCCATCGGGTGGGGGTGGTGGTTCCATGTGAACACTTTTTATTTCATTTTTAAATATGATTTGTGAGTAAGTGCAAAAAGTGATAAAATCATTGAAATAAGGTGATGAAATTGAAAATAGAAATGAGTTGTGGTCTATCACATACTAATTGAAATTAACTCAACATTTCAAACAAGAAAGGTAGCATCAAAAGGTTATGACAACATGCTCAACAATTTAACATAAACACAAACAATGTTAATTTACTAAGTTCATACATCGGCCGAAATTATATCAAAATCGCTAAACTGATATTTTTAGGAGAATTAGCAAAACTGCAACACATAAAAAGAGTGGCCTAAAATTCAACTAAATAAATTGCCAAACTATGGCTGGTTGATTATTTTATACCAAATTGCAAGGAAGTTGTAAGAGGTCAGGTATTTGCATCATTAAGCACAACCGTATGACATATGTTTGTGGTGAAGTTGTCGTTCGAAAATCCCTTAGAATTGGGTATTTTAATATAGGGAAAACTGGAAAAGGTTCGAATAAGTCCTCGAACTAACCGAAAAAGTGCAAATCACCCCTTTTATAGGAGTCTCTGTCCGGCGTTGCCATTCGGGATGGTTCCTGATGAAATTTTTTGATGAATATTTTTGAGCATCTTCTTCATTAAGTCTAATTTACACATACCAAATTTCAGCTAAAAAACAACCGGGAAGGCAATCAAATGATTTTCTGAAATATATTGTGATGTTTAACTGCGCAGTTATCTTCAAACATTTATTTGACTGACTTCCGGATTTTATTTTTAACTGGTATTTGGTATGTGTAAACTAGACTTAATGAGGACAATGCACAAAAAAAATCATCAAAAAATTCCACCGGGAACTACCCCAAATGGTGATGAACGGGCAAAGCCTCCTATAAAAGGGGAGATTTGCACTTTTTTTGTTAGTTCGAGGGCTTATTTGCCCCTTTTCCCTTTAATATATCAAAAGTATGAAAAGTCATGTCGGTGAGAAATTAGAGTAAACCCCCACGTAGGAATGGACTAAACCGGGTTGGCCCGACCCGGAACCGGCCCGGCCCGCTACTGTTTGGGCCCGGACCAGACCAGGACCGGTTGTCCGATTCCGGGCTTTTAGCCCGTTTGAGCGGGTCGGGCGGGCCGGGCTCGGGCCCAAGTTTTGGTGAACCGGCCCGGGCGGTTCGGGTCGGGCCCGCTTCAATTTTTTTTGTTTTTTCAACTTTTTTTGCTTTTCTAGGTTAGGGTTGGGTGTTTTGGGGGGGTTTGGGGGGTGGGGTGAAAGGGGGGGTCGGGTGTTAATTAGAAACCAAAAACAAAAAAAAAATGAACTTGACCCGGGCCCGGCCCGGCCCGGTTAGGCCCGGACCCGGTATCAACCGGGACCGGTTCCGGACCCAACATTTTGCAAAAAAAGCCCGCCCGGGCCCGGACCGGAACCCGGGTCCATCCCTACCCCCACACAAGTATGAAACTAAAACATTATTTTGAAATCGTATGTAAGCTTTCAATTTTATGTTTTTTTACTTCAAAAATCTGAAAGCCAGATTAGTGTTACATCTCAAATTTTTGGTAGCAGTTTTAATTTTTTTAAAAGGATATAACTAATATACGCTCGAATCGCTCGAATACTTTTAGTTAACTATATAACTTCTATTGTAAACTTTTAAGATCTTAAAACAATTCACTATACAACTAGGGGTGGACTCGGGCCGGGCCAACCGGCCCGGAACCGGACCAATCCCCTACTGTGCAGGCCCGGACCGGCCCGGTGAACCGGTTGGTTGGCCGGTTCGGGCCACCCGGCCCGGTGGGATCTCGGTTCGGACTCGGGCCCTTCAAAAGGTGAACCGGCCCGGTCGATTCGGGCCCGGGTCGGGCCAATTTTAATTTTTTTTTTGATTTATTTATTGAGTTTTTGGGTTGGGCTGGGTATTTTGGGCCATTTGAGGTGGTTAGGATTGGTTTGGGGGTGAGGGGAGGGTTGGGGGTTAACTAGGAAAAACCCAAAAAAAAATATACCCGAGGCCCGGCCCGGACCCGGGGGTTACCCGGGCCGGTTTCGGGCCTCCCATACCTTGAACCGAGGCCCGGCCGGTTCAAGGCCCGAACTGGGCCCGGCCCGAACCGAGTCCATCCCTATATACAACTTAGATCGCATGTTGTGTAGCTTTTTAAATCATAAAACAACAATGTCAAGGCACTTGAGTTGCTGTTTGAAAGAATGTGGACTTGACTTTTTCTATCCAATTAGAAGATACTCCCTCCCATCACACATATCAAGAATCTCTCAACGGTTTGTGATGAGTAAACTCTTTCCTCATAAATATTACTACCCGTCCCGTTAGAAGATTCCCATAACAAAACGATTATTTAGGCAATAATTTTAAATATATTATAATGTAGTTAGTATTGGTAAGTGTGATGTTATAAATGTATTATTTTTAATATTTAGTGATTAATTTGTCACTTAAGATTGCTAATTGTTTCCTAAAATGGAAATGAGAACAAACTTTATATGGGACATCCAAAAAAGTAAAGTGGGAACCTTCCAACAAACTTTATATGGGACATGTTCAGAAAATACATATCAACTTCTACTAAATTGCAAAAAGAATTTATAAATCACAATCTGAAAAAATCAAAGGACATGCTTGAATGCTACTGCAGGTGTACGTGAAGAAATGCTAGAAATGTTTAAAAAACAATTTGAAATTATTGAATAAAACTAAATGTTAAAATAAAATAAAATTGACCATGTAAACAATGTATGAAAACCTTGAAATGGGACGGATGGAGTAAAACACCAAATGCCATTATGTCAACATGTGAGATTTCAGAAAGTCTACCTCTTTTACTGCATAATCAATCTTTTTCGCTTATTATTGCCAGGGTAGAACACTTCAGAACATGTAGCCATGTAGGTATGTAACCAAATACTTCATACTCTGCATTATTTTTAGCACGGAAGGAGAAAAACAAAGAGACTCCATCCCGAATTTACATATCTCATGTGCTAAAAAACTACAAAAAGACAACCATCACAACTCACAAACTTTCCGTAGTTACAATCATTGCAACTCCGTGCTATAAATCAGAAATACTTAGGGAACCAGAGAAGTTAAGATGTCATGTTCCAAGGGTTGTGTGCACATGAACTCTGAACAAGTCAAGGAGTAAATATAGAAGAAACCATCCCAATTTCGGAACCTCAAAACAACCTCTTTGTGACCTCAAGTTTGGTTCATAGATGCACTTCTAGCCATCTTAGCTCCCACTAGATGGAATTGAACCAAGTAGTTGAGAACTTGTACCTCCTGCTAAACAACAAACAACAACAACATTACCCCATGCCGCAAAGGCTCCCACCTATGGTGGGGTAAGTGGGGTCAGATGTACGCAGTCTTACCATGGACCGACTGCTTCTTCATAATAAAGAAGTGCGGGCAGTTTAGTGAGCCATTTTGCACATTGGAAGTGATGTAAGTTATTCAAAATACTGAGTCTTTGGCTCCATTGGAAGTGATGTAAGTTATTTAAAATGTAGTAGCATGTTCAGAGTTGCACCTTATTAACATGTGGTTTACATTACAATGAAAGATGTGAACGGTAAAGATGTGAATTCATCATCAGTAACTTAGTGACCAGCTTAGTTACCAGATTAGGCTGATCGAGAAGATGCAGTCTTTTTTCTTGGCAAGCTACGCCTCTGCTTCCATTGGAGTAAGTCTGAGGGAACATGTCCAAGACAAGTAGATATCAATTTCTGAAACCAGATGACAACATAGTGACAACACGAGCAAGAAGATTTTTGGCATTTGCACCCTCCCATGTTTAACCCAATACTTGACTTAGCACCCGTGTTCTTATTTCTTTACCTTTCACTCAGAGTGGGAAGTAAAGTCAAATCTTAAGATACAAGTGGGGTGCAAAGTCTAATGTATATATTGGAATTTGCGCTCCATTAGGCATGGGGAGTCAATTAAAATAAAGCACGGGAGTCAACATGGGGTTCAAATACTGAATTTTCCCAACAAGGAGAAACAATGATAAATCGCAACTTTGATTTTACATATAAATATGAATATGAATGTAAATGTGTATCTATATACAGGCAATACTTGTCAGTTATATTCAGATAACATTTGGTAACACATGCAGACTCCATTTCTGAATAAGTGCACCATCATAGAAACTTTTTTGTTTCAAAACAAGTGTCATGTTACAAATTTTATACTCCCTCTGTCCCTTGTAACTTTGTCATGTTTCCTTTTTTGGATATCCCAAAAATTTTATCATTTCCCCTTTTAATCAATGAATTTGTGGTTCCTATTATCTCTCTCCTTTGCCCAAATCTCAATCACACAGTTGTTTACTTTATTATTTCTCGTGCCAGACAAACTTGACAAAGTTTTAAGGGACGGAGGGAGTATAATACATCAACTGATTTCATGTTTTCATTCCACTTATAGCCATATCTACCAAACTTAACTACCACGACAAGTATGAAAGAGATTGCATTAATAGACTAGAAAAAGTGACCACTGATGTTCATTTTTCCTGAAAAGGATTGTCTTTGTTCCTAACTTGCTAATCTATGTTTTCTTAATTGGTGAGGAAGGGTATAGTGTGACGCTTATTCGGGAACAAGAGGAATACCAAATAACAAAGGTAATTGATCTTTACATAGAGAAGAAAACAAAAAATGATATCCCACTGTTATGCTACTTGGACATAATTGCCAGCTATGAAGCACGGGAACTTCTCACTGCTCACGTTTCCCAAATTTGGAAACTCAAGAGCACGTCACAAATTTGGAAACTTCAAATTCTTGTTTCGAGGTTGTTTACGTAACTAAGAAGAATTAGAAAACCCATTTCCTAAATAATTAGCGTTTCTGGAACTTTGAGTTTCCAATTTTTTCTTTTTAATGGGATTCCCTTGATGAAAATAGTTCAAACTCTTAAACTCTTTAGTGAATTTAAGTGATATTTCATAACGCAATGCATTGCTAGAAATATATTGCATTTTATGTTTTGTTATGTACTACTCCGTAATATGTAACAATCTCTAAATTTGAACATGTAGAGTGTATTTATTTTGGTTATCAAACAAAGTTTTAAGAAAAAACAATATGTGTTTATACACACGTGAAAAAGACATGTTTACAAATTATTTATAAATACATCCTTTTATTTTTTAATATTTACACGTTTACCCCATGTTCTGTATCCTATACTTCTTAGAAATCCTGTTTCTCACATTTAGTGTTTCCCGTTTCCCGTTTAGTGCTTTTGTGCTACTTAGATTGACAACATTTGGATACACATACCTCATACACACCTTTCAATTGAAAAAAGTAAAGAGAGGGATATATACCTGATCCAAAATGCCTTAAAAGCAATCTCTGTTAAATGACTAGCCATGAACAGTCTCATTTACAGTCTGCTCATCCCAATAAATTCATCAGAAGTGGAGCATGCAAAGGAAATGGTTACTCTGTTATGGATTAACATTAGTTGATTGAACTAAATGCGTGGATCCAAAATTGAAAGAATGGTCTTGCATGGCTGGTGAAGCATAACAATTAGGCAATGTTAGTCAAGGACAAAATAAGCAATCAGCCAATCCTTGACAGTCTCTTCCGCTTTCGATTCTTGCTACGCAGAGTAGAACTCTTGACTGTTGTCTCATTCTGTGAGCTAGGGGGTAAAGTAATTGCCAAAGGAAGCTCGCGGCGGGATGTTCTACCTTTCTTACCAGCCCATCTCAAAGGCATGCTATTAACTATGTCGCCTAAGTTATTGGAACCATTCAAATCAACAAGTAGCTGAATCTGATCAACCATTTGATGTGTCCATGCATTTGAGAGATCAAGTGCTATTGAGTCATCCATTGGCTTTCTCATTAGATCCATTAGAATTTCTTGGAATGATTGGAAAGACATGGAAGGTCTATAGCCTCCAATATTTCCGCACATCATATTGACCTTAATGACATGCTTGCAAAGGTTTCCTTGCAGTGACCATTCACAATCACAATGAGCAAAATCAGATCCAGGGTTCCAAATAAGATGTGTAATAGTACTGTCTTTCTGACTTAAAACCTTAGCGAAAAAGTGTTGTCCACTTTCAAGGTCCACTAATGTGTCAGGAATTTGCAGTGCTCGATACCAAGACGTAGAGGCAATATACTCTTCCTTGACATTTTGAAATGAATCACTCTCATCAGCGTATCTGTCAAGCCAGTAGCTTGAATGTAACTCTGTTGTCAGCTTGTGCACCAACCAATCAACTCTCTGTAATGCACCCAAATGTGAATCATCATATACTTTTGATTTCAGCTTGATATGATATGCTTCTATTGCACACGACGATTCCAAGCTTGCAAGTGGAAACAACTTCATAGTAGTCAGCCACATTTCTGTATGATGACATGAGACCGGTCTAATCAAAATTTATATTAATACTAGCTAGAGCAGCCCGGTGCACATTGGCGTCCCATCAGGGCAAGTGTCCGAGGAAGGGAATCAAAATATATATAATAAATCAGATGAAAATCATAAGTTTTGAAAACCTGAATTTTTTAGTTTTCTTATTTGCTGAGGAATTGCTAACACAAAAGTGTGCATCCAAAAGAAAGTAATTGGCTAGTACCAATCTAACCTATTTTAGGAACCCATGTAGATGTAAAATATTGCATAAACTCTGTTTGGTCAACAAAGTCTTGAGTAAGTTCCTCCAAAGCAAGAGCAGGATCACACCCACCCCAGATACCATAAACCATATCACCCAAGCGCTTCAATATCTCCCTTTGCACTACAATATTACCACATTTTTTGCAAATATTTCTTAACCAAGATCTACGAACACGCCAAAGAGAAAATATTAAAGGACAAGATAATGCTTCCCTGCAAATAAAGTGAACTCCAAGTGAATGATGTATCTCTACAATCAAGCTCTAAAATTGGAGCAATTGAATTTTAATAAAAATAACTATACATTATCGGATGAATCTCTGTTGCAGCATCATCAATCAAAAACCCGTTGATTTTCCATGATGGATCAGATTTGTGTGCACGTCCGACCAAAGCTTTCATCCACTTGTTCACATCTATCTTTGCAATACTGCGAGTGATGATCCATGCAACAGGAAGTGCATGTTGTCTTGAATCGAAAACAAGAAGTGTGCACAATGGATACTGCCATATGCACATATCATGAAATGAGAACAAGTTATGGATTTTGCAAGTTAGTGAAATAAATAAAATGGCTGTACCACCTTGAGTTTCTTTATTCCAAACGCAGAATCTGCTGCTATGATACTGTGATGGCCAAAACGAATCATTTGTTGCAACTGCCACTCTGTTTGTATTCCTAAGATGAATGGGTCCTTTTCTGATGAATCCTGATAAATGAAAACAGATTTTTTGTTGCGTTCAACCCACATCCGAATGCTAGCTTGATCATCGAGATCCAATTCATGAGAGGATCTTTTAATAATCATGCCGAGTTTTTGGACATACTGTGAAGCAAGGTTATTGACTTTCGCATCTGAATCACAATAACGCTGAATGCCTTCGATATGCTTTTCTAAAACATTTTCCTCAGGAATGCCAAGATATATCATAGACATGGTTTGCTGTTGTATCTCATTGCAAATGTACGGAATCTTTTTGGCACCAGGTCCAATAGCATCTCTGTCTAGTGGTCCATGGCAAACAAAACCAGACTTGTTCACATGTCGCCTATTGTTAAATATTAGAAGTGCAAGGGATGGACAAGCATATAAACGCTTCACCACAAAATGACATGTGCATCCCCTCATAGATTGGGGTCTAGCAGCACGGTTACGAGTGTTAAGTCGGTACCTTCGGCTCGGTAATATGCCTCCCCCTTCTCCATAGTTTTCAGGGCCAAAAGAACACCAATACCTAAAAGGAAGAAAAGAATGATATTTGTGATGGGATTAGTCTAGTCTTAATTTTTGCGATTTCTGTTAGAATGACATCAAACATATAGCTAGGCATTTCTTGTATTTCAAGTGACATGCAAAAAAGAGTAAGAAAGATGGTACATGATCATAGTTCATGCTTTATTCCGCAGACACCGATGCACACATAAGCTGAAAGAACTAAAGAGTGAGGTAGGGGTAGGGAAGGGAGAATTACATCCTGTACTCCAAATACTCATCAGGCTTGTATTCTTTTAAGCTCCCCTCAGTTCGTTTCCTCCCCCTCTCAATGTGGAATCTCGTTGGGCATTCAACATTAGAACATTCTCCAATAATAAAGGCATCAACTCGGTCATAAGGAATCAGGGCAACCTCATCATGGTGCTCGGCATTTCCAAACTTGGTCCAATTCAAATCACCAGAAAAGAAGTCATCCCCTGGTGGGTTTTGCACAGCAAGACTTTGAATGGACTCGACTATATCCATCCCTGAAACATTCCCTTCATTATCGATTAGTCTATCAATGTAAAGAAGCAAAAGAAATTTCCAGCAGTGTTCCCACCTAAAGAGCTCCACTAGAATACATACACCTTATCTTAGAGAAAAAACAAGAATCATGTAAGACAAAAGGCCTCATTCTGTGTGATATCAAGCAGCTGCTTCTTGAGCCACGTGCTAAGCTATGATATCTCAACAATGTAATTCCATAAATGTAAAGGCACAACAAAAACACCATAAACTTCCCTGTAAATAGACGCAATGTTTTGCAAAATGAGCACCACGGGAGAACCCTTGGAATTTAAGTCTTCCCAATCCACACAAAAGCACAAAACAATTACTCTAAGGTAGTGATACGGGCACGGGCACTGTATGGATAGTTTTAAATTTTTTGGGGAAAAAAATCTGAAAATGAATATAAAAAAGTTACTACGTATTAACGTATATAAGTTAACGGAATGCATGGAGAGTGAAATCATAGCATAAGTCACAAAACCACTTCGGTTTGAAGTAATAAACCCTACATTAGAAACGGAGAAAAGGATGGACAAAAGGTTATTGATGAAAAATAAGTGAATACCATTGTTTGTACCTTCTCTGAGTTAGATGTCCACAGCAAAATTACACAAACAGTGTTTGAGTAGTTATGCGGACGAATCTGATACAAAACGGCGGTGATGAATAGTGAGTGCAGATTGAAGCTTCCAGATATCAGAAGCTCTTCTGGTAAGCTTACAGTGCGTCGTTGTTTTTTACGTGGTTTGGACCAGATCACCAGAACGTTAACCAGGTCGACCTCTTTTTGAGAGTTCGGATACCACGGTTGCATTGGATGTGAATTGAGTTACATTTTTTCTAATCAGGGTGGCCCGAACAGAGTCCATCAATTGTAATCCCCAAATATTTTGAGTTTTTTTTTCATTCTCTAATACGTAGTAGTTTTTTTTAATTTCCAGTTTTTATATATCCAATTTTCTGTTTTCAGTTTTTTAGTTTTCCATTTTCAAATTTGAAAAAATAAATTATCAAATTTTTTCATCCAATTATGTGACCCATCAGAAGACCGAAAATACGGTCCCAGTCCGGAATTGAATCTAGTACAACCCAAGTAGGGTACTAGGTCCCACGTATAGGGAAGTAGGGTCCAATTGACCTCAACGATTAGTATGACTAATTCTTTTCTCATTTCCTTGTTGGTTGACAATTCAACAGCTTTTTTAAAACTCTATATTTTAAACAATGATTTCAAAAAAACGAGACCAAACTGTCAGGTCATTGACCGGACCAAACAGGGACCCCCGGGTCGTTGACGAGACCGGTCGGTTGTCGATCGGACCGGACAGAGACCGTCGGGTCATTGGCTGGAGAGGACGGAAACCGTTGGGCCATTGACCAAACAGGATGGGGATTGTCGGATCGTTGACTGGACATGACATGGACCGGCGGGGACCGGCGGGTCACTGATCAGACCAGACGGGAACCGCCGAGTCATCGACCGGATCAGATCGGGACTGCCTGCTCATCGACCGGACTTGATTGTGGATCATACCGGACCAGGACTGTTGGGTCATCGACCGGACATGGACCATCGAGTCATGGACCGGACCAGACAGGGACCATTGGGTCATTGACCGGACTGGGACTGTCAGACATCGGCCAGTCCGAGCCGGTATTTCTTGGGGTTGTTCGGTAGGCCCAAAGGATATTGTTGAGTCCGTTTACCCAAGTTGTTCCCCTAGACTCTATTTTCCTCTTTAGGCCACTAACGATCGTTCTATTCACATTTTCAACCTGTCTGTTGCATTGAGGGTAAGCGACAGATGCCCTGCTGGCCTCGACACCCCACTGCTCACAATTTTTTTTGAAGGTCTCAGAATCGAACTGCTTTCCGTTATCAGTAATAATCTGCATGGGAACACCGAACCGGCAGAAGATGTTTCTCCAGACGAACTTCTTACATTGTTCAGCGGTGATCGTGGCCATTGGCTCGGTCTCAACCCACTTGGTAAAGTAATCAACTGCTACTATCACGAATTTCTGACCTCCTGAGTCCTGCGGAAGGGGGGCCACGAGATCTATTCCCCATCTTGAGAAGGGAATTGCAGTGCTGATCGGGATATACATGGTGGTTGGCCTGCCTGGATTTGTTTGGAATTTCTGGCAGACCTCACATCTTCGCGCGAAGTCTGCATAGTCCCTTATCATGGTTGGCCAGAAGTATCCCTGTAAGATAGCCTTTCTGCTCAAAGTAAACGCACCTTGGTGTGATGAGCAAATCCCTTCATGTAATTCTTTGATTATATGTCGGGCTTGATCCGGCCTCAGACACCTCAAGAGTACCCCATTGTAGCTTTTTTTTGTAGAGTCTTCCATCCTGGATAACGTAATTAGGGGCTCGCCTCCTGACTACTCTCGCCTTATCCTCTTTTGGGGGGAGCATTCCGTTCTCGATATATTCCACCAAATCATCTATCCAGCGTCTCGGAGCTTGATCGACTAGTAAGACCTCCAGGTCTTTGGTGCCTTCGATGCTTGGCTTGCTCAATTCATGTATTTGAGCTATACGTAGGGTTGGGTCCGAAAAGCCGAAAACCAAAAACCAAATCAAATTAAACCGAACCGCGGCCAAATAAAACCCAACCGCTAAAAACCGAAATCGAATGTAAAAAAACGAACCGTAGTAGTTTGGTTCGATTTTGGTTTTTACCCTTCAAAACCGAACCGAACCGAACAAACCGAACAAAAATAAAATATGAAATTTTATTTGTTAAATTTAAGCATTAATCTTAATATCATCAACAATCTTTGAATTCATTGTGCTGGAGAAATAATGTTTGTGCTATGTTTACTTTAGTTTAGTTTATAAATGCATTTACACATTTATTTCCCGTACTGTAGCTATATTGATCTATTATGTCTTTTATGTATGTATGTTGCAATTTGTTGCATGATTATCTGTTTTTATTGGTGATTAGTAGTAATTAACCTTTATTTTTATGTAACTTAAATTTTTTGTATTGATAAAACAAATAAATATTCATCTCAACTATATCACATAGGACGTATGTATTCATAAACTTTTTTTCAAACTCGTCACAAACAATGTAAATTAATAATAGATACACAATTTTATCTCTCCCGCATACTTACATAATTCAAGACATATTTGTTTATTATTTTTCTTTATTTGTTCAAGTATGCTTGCATTTTTATGCAATACGTTTGATCCCACCAACTTTTAAATCAAATGACAATTTTTAAGTAAAAAACCGAAAAAACCGAAATCGAACCGAAACAAACCGAACCAATCAAACCGTAGTTCCAAGTTTTGGAGTGTAAAACCGAACCGAACTTTTACTTTGGTTCCGTATTTTGTTTTAGGTCAAAACCGAACCGAAAGAATCGAACCCACCCCTAGCTATACGTGTGAGATGTTCGGGAGCATCAGTTGTTAGTTTTCGATGGATTCTTTCCCCGGTTGTCTTTCCCCCATCATCACCATATACGCACATATCTGGAAACATGGTGTTGTGGGTATGTCTTTCCCCGGTTGGCCTCTATATTGCAAGGCTTGTATCCCTGGGGTAGCGGGGCGTCCATGATCAGACGAAAGAATTGTTTGGGAATCCTTACTTCATGGTTAAGGTTGATCCTGGCGTCCACCTCTCTCCGGAGCTCGTCCAGTCTTCTCCTGAGATCGTCGTTGCCCTGACCCGCTTGCTGCCGAGGTGGGGATCGTCGATTCCTGTGGCCCTGCTGGTTGGCGTTGATCTTGTTTCTGAGATCTCCCCCATGCACGCTACGGCGGTGGGATGATACAGCCGCGGATGATGCCTCCACACTCGACTCAGGTCGGGATGAGATCCTGTCATGCACGGAGACCCTTTGTTCTCCGATTCGGTCCATCACTGAGGTCCTTGAGGTTGGCCTGGAATGATGGGAACGTTAAGATCGGGATGGCGGCGAGCCCCTCCTAGAGTCCTCACGTCGCTCCTCCTCTTGCCGGAGCATAGACGGAGCCCGGTGAGGGGAAGGGGACCTCGCGCCCTCATTAGGGATGATGTCGTGAAAGGCAGTGGTCAGAGTCCCCACTGCCCTTTTGAACATCGCCAAACTCGCTAAGGCTCGGGCTGGGTCAACATTAGGGATACGATTCCTTGTGCCTGGCGTCTGAAACTGTGGCAGCCGTGTTGCTGCCCGCCTGGAACTTCTAACCCCTTGGAGATGATTCCTCAAATCCTCCTGTCCCGCCGCGTTGTCATTGCGCCTTCGGAAGTCACTCCGGCGCGACCGAGAACCTTCGTCCTCGATCAACACTTGTTCGAAACGATTACTGCCCAAATTGCTGCCCACATGGTTATGGCTATGGGATCCAACCATGGTTTGTCGTAGATCGAGCTCTCAACGAAAGCACCAAATGATGGAGTTTAATCCAACTACGAGAGCTAAATCTACAGAAGCAGATGAAAATTTGGCAGCGTGAGGCAGTGTTCTATTGATCAACGTTTCGATACCCCTTTAGGAGGTTTATAAGTCGTATTTATAGGCTAAGGACTTAGTTTTACAAAAGGAAATTGATACAATAAATGCTATTAATTGTGCATTAGTTCGAATGAGACTCTTGTAACGTCTTGGCCGTTGTGCAATGATTGTTCCATTATTCCCACGTTCCTGCCGTTAACTCCTGCCAACTGCCGTTCTAATGATAGCGTGTCACGTCAGCCCTAAGAATATCCCATCCTCACTAGAATTCCGCTCTGGCTTGAGGCTTGCTTTCCAACCTGGCCTCGCCGTGGGTTCCTCTCGTGGGCTTGATCCATAGTCAGACCCAGTGGCTATCTAACATTAATCCCATTTGTGGGCCAACCCCGCTAATGGTTTGCATCCCGTTATGGGCTGGATTGTATAATTGGGCCATGGTCGGTGTCCATGTTACCATCAGACATGATTAAGGGTTAATCGTTCTTTGCTCTTTTCCTCGTTCTGTGCACTCTAAAGACCCTCTCGAAGCCATTCTTGGTAATTCAATACTCTTATAAATAAATAAAAAGTCATTCTTGAAAATGTGTTGTCGTGTTTGAGTTATTTCTTGATTTACCCATCAGGGTTCTTGATCTTTTTTAGCTGTTTACTCTAATGGGATAGAAATTACTCACTGAAACAAAAAATTATCTTTTATTTATCTTTTATGTTGTCACTTTCTACGGTTCTTGAAATAGCATGAAGCTAGATGAACTGTGGTGACATATGAAGTCATTTTCCATTTCAATTTTGACATCTATTTATGGGTATTGAAAGCTTGATCTTTTCTTTTAAAGATAGTTTATTGACATCTTCACTTCGATTCTGTTTTGCTGAGTACTGTTATTCTACTTCTAAGTTCTACCCAAATCTATACAAAAGAAATTTTATAAATGAGTTTAGAAAAATACATTTCTTGATCTTTTATTCTACAGACTACGAGTTACTATAAAATTTATTTTCTATCCCATCCTTTTGGGCTTCTTGGCAAGCATTATTTTTTTAAGATCGTACATGATAGATAACCTCTTGAAGATTTGGATCAGCAATGAGCAGATCATCAAGGTCTTATTTACTCTATTCAATTTGTGAAGAAAATACAGGCAAGGAAAACTTTGCTGCTTGGACGAATAGATTTTATTTGGATTAACTCTATTCAACAGAGTTTTGAATATGTCATTTGTTTTAGTGAATTTACAATCTTCTTTCACATAATACCAATTCTTTATTACCAAATTTATATCAATGTTATATGTTGGTGTTACATATGGAGCCTCTTGTTGGTCCAAAATAGGACGCTCATAGGCTTTTAGGAAAGCTACGTACGACACTCAAGCAGGAAATCAGGAAAATAATGCAAATAAGGAAAGTTGCAAATGGAATTTGGTAGCCAGA